AAGAATGCCTTTACTCAAGAAGAAATTGAAAAGTTTCTCGATATGAAGAATTACGAGGTTGCGACAGAAATTGATAAAAAAGCTTATGAGAAGGCTATTAGTGATAAAACAGCACGAAAATTTTCTTGAATAAATACTTGAAGTTATGTAATCGTCACGATCAAAAGTTAAAAGAAACTAAAAAAAGATTGCCAAACAGCAGGAATCATCCATATTGGCCAAAAGTAAAGAATATTAAAGATAACATTGCAGGAGTTAAAACAGCTTACAGTTTCGCGCCCAAAAATATTCAAAAGATGCTTGACGAATTTGAGAATTAATTAGTTTTTATTTTTTATTTTTTTTTTTTGTTTCTTGTTATTTGTTATTTTCTATCATTATCTATCTATTCAGTCTTTGACCAGATAGAGTGTTTTATGTTAAAAAATGAATCTCACAAATAATTTACAATTGTTTCAAGAGCAAAACAAATCTTTTAATTTCAATGTAAAGAAATGAATTTTTGATAATTACATTATACTTGTCAGATATAGTGAACGAATTCGCCAATTACCGAAACATAATTATTGAAACATATCTTATTATAAACCTTTTAACAAAAGACGATTCAATAACTTAAAAGAAAAAAGCAAAACTTATTACTGTAAGAGGTGTAATGATATACTTACCATCGAAAATTTCTGCTATAAATGTGAGTCAGAAGATCTGGACAATTCAGAATCAATTTACACGAACTCTCCAAAATCGGACAGTGAAGGTTCGAATTATATTACTGACGATGGGTTTGTTATTAAGGATGATATAAACACATTATATATTCAACATGGTTTTGTTAAAAATGATTCTGTGTTTTTTTTCGATAATGAGCTGATGATGGATGATTCTTCTTTTTCTTCTCAAAGTTTACAATGTAATTCTATTTAATCAGTTTAATAAACCGATTAATTTTTTTTCTGCATAATTTTTTTTTTTAAAAAAAAATGAAAGTCTACCAGAAATATCAAACCGCGTCCAAAAACTACCAATCAATTTTAAATTTAAACAGCGAATATTATTTGTTTTTAAATAGCTTTACCAAAGCAAAAAATTACGGTATTTTAGTCGATTTAGATAAAGCTACAACCCAAATCGAGTCTACGCTCGATGTGAACACAAATCTTCTTATTCAACATAAGAAAATTATAGATGAAATTGAATCAACCTGAAAGGAATTTTCTCTTTGCATCTTGGTGAATCCTGTTCCAAACAACACTATTTGGTTGAATCGTCGCAACAATTCTGAGAAACATTACTACAATTTGTATCAGTCGGTTGGTGGGTTAGTCGAACCTAATGAGACATTCGAATCATGCGCTTTTAGGGAAGTCCGTGAAGAATCTGGGATCGATATTAAGGAATTGAATTATATTTGTCAATACGAAGGATCTTGCGTTTTTCCTGGCAATACTAAGGAATCTCTATATAAAACTCTTGTCTATTTCTCGATTCTCGAACCTAACCAAATTCCAATTCGAACTGAACCGACCAAAAGTGATGAATGGATTCAATGTACTTTAACTGAATTTGAAAAAAATCAATATATGTTAACACCAACATTGGAAGTTAAAAAGAAGGAGATTGTTGAAACGATTAAAACTAAACTAACTCAACATAACAGGAAGAGAAAATGCATTAGTAAAGAGGAAAAAGAAGAAAAGGAGGAGGTGAATGGTGTCAATTTGGAATCGAATGGAGTCAATGAAGTTTCGTCAACTTCGAGTCCTGCATAGTTTTAGTTTTATTTTTTTTTATATTTTTGTTGTCTTTTTTTTATTAAAAATAAATACTCTGTTCAGTACTTTACTGAACAGATTTTTAACTACGTAAAAAAAAAATGAATAAAGAAAAAAAGGTAGGTTGGATGTTCCAAACTACTTTGTATTTGTGAATTCGAATTACGCTGCCATAGAAAAATAGGAATATATTCTGAATTCACACTTGTATGATGAGGATATATTCTATTATTTTTCAAGAAACTGATATCGGAATTGAAGTTATATCTTTGAGATGTCGATATTGCAAACCTTGGTGAAGAGAATTTTCATACTCATAACATTTTTATTTATCATAGATATCAAATTATAAATCTGGTCATGATTTTGAACCTATTATTCGGAAGATCGCTGAAGCGAATGGATTATTAGCTAGCGAAATCAAAGTAACTCAAGGAGATAATGGTATCGATATCATTGCAACATATAAAAAAAAACTCATTCTCATTCAATGTAAGAATGTGGAAACACCGTTAACTGTTCAGATTGTAAGGATTTTTGAATCAGCGATCTCTAGATTTCCTTCAGATTCTCTTGGTCTTATCGTTTATAACAGTGAAAAATTAAACGAAAGATTTGCAAGTCATAAAGCTTCAAATTGGGCTTCTACTTCGAAACAAAATATTAAAATTTGTAATGAAAAGGAGTTTGTTGGAATTATCAAAGAATTTTTCGAATATGATAACGATGATCAAATCGATTTAATCGATATTAATGCCGATACTTTTAATTTAAGTGAGTTGATTGGAAAAAATGTTTCTATTGGTAAGATTATTATTCGGAAAAATAGAAATGTACATAGATCTGTTCCATATAATTTAACCAAATAGTAATCTATTCAGTCTTTTTGACCAAGTAGTTTTTTTCTATGTAAACTCAAAATGTCATCAAACTGGCAATCAAAATTTAAAACCTTTAAACCAGCTTTAAATTGGGTGCAAGTGACGAACCTTTCAAAACCAAAACATAAGTTAAACAAATATCGAACTGTTAACATAAACAACAAACTCTATTACGAGGTTTCTACTCAAACCCCTGATATAACATTTTGATCAATATCAAAAACTTCCATCTTCTAAAAAAATATACTTGGACTTGTGTTAAAGACGCAAACACATATTATATTTCAACAAAAGATAAAAATCAAAATTATAAACGTATATATTTACTACTTCATCGTTTGATTCGACCAGAGTTTAAGATGATCGATCATGTGAATCGTAATGGACTTGATAATCGTGAATGTAACCTAAGAGAAACAAACAAAAGAGAAAATGCTTTAAATTGTAAACTACATAAAAAAAATACATCGGGATATAATGGAATAACTTTTATTAAATC